TAATAATAATTAAATAATATAAATAAAATGGCTGAAGTAAGAAAAATTACTCAAATTTAATATTAGGATAAATAAATAATTTAGCCGTATTCCCCGGCAACGGCGCCAAAAACTTGTTGGGTGCTAAATACCTAACACGCAAGTGCACGTATCGCAAACAAGTAGTAAAAGTGGACTCGTGAGAGTCGGATGTCGATCCCACAGGGAATACTCAAATTACCTAATCCTAAGTACCAAATTCTAACAATTATGATTTTTATCCAGCCTACGCAAAGTTGTCAATTTAAATCAATTAATCAATTAAACTAATTCAGAAGCAAGTAATCACGAGAAAATATCAATAAAACGGACCTAGGATTTTATCTTCCCCTATGCGATAATTCTTCACCCAATTAAACCTCTATCATGCAAGTTACAATTCCCGATTATTAACCCAAGACACGAAATTACTCATAATCCCTTGTCGCGTGTATTATAAGTCTATTATTCATAAACGATTCACTATATGTCTATGCAAACCTATTATGAATAAAGCATTAAATAACAAGTCTCGTAAACGGCTACCTAAGGTGATATCTGTATGTCTACGACACCACATGCAATTGACACACACATCCGGTGAAAACTACTCGAAGGCTCTTCTATCCTTGTTCTAATTATTAAAACGATCTGTCAATCAATTCTAACAATAACATATAGCAACATAAATTAGCTACGTTCATGCGCTAAATAAGATCAGATAGAAGAAATAATCAAAGAAATTAAACTTGCATAATATTAGAAAAATAGGTTCGAATCACCACATAGGGTTCCAACAAAATCCTAGAATAAAAACTTAGCTACTCATGTTCTTAACGAAAAGCATAATAAAAATACGAAAGTTCACAAAAAATCCAGAAATAAAAGTAAAGGAAGAACTATGATGAAGATTCGTCAAGTCTTCGTCTTCGTTGCTCCGTTCTCTTGCTCCTTGATTGCGTGTGTAAAGATTGATTTCTAATTATGTTCTTTTTGGCCTTTAAATAGAGTGCAAAAATATAAGAGGGCGGTTTCCTTGTGTAATTAAACTTCCTTCACTGCGCCACCTCGTGAACCCGGACGGCCGTGCGAGAATTAGTTCTGAAATCCGGACGGCCGTGCGGTCTTTAATTCTTCAGAGTTTTGATTTTTTCACTTTTGGCCCACTTTTTCTCCGAATTTGCAGTTTTTACCCCTTAAGTTGCCAATTCTTCAATTTGTACCTAAAATACAAATAACAACCATTTTAAGCACCAATTATCGTTAAAACACACCAAAAGCTCCAATTAAAAGGTACAATTAAGTGTAAAAATATACACTTAACAGCAGACACGACGAAATGAAAAAAAAAATTGGGAAAACCCTATTTTTCAAAACGTTGGATAAATGTGTAAATATTAAAAGTACATGGGTACATCCATAATTTCTAAAAAATGTTAATAACATTTAACTTATATACTTATCGTCAATTATATATTTGTATCTACAAACTGCTAGTGTTTTAAAAATCGGCCGAGACAGCTGATTAAGCGGTCCCCGAAGCAGAGGTGCTCCAATACCTTCACGATTTTGGTGCAAATGTTTGAAAATTTGGGTTTTGGATATGAGGTGGTTAAAGAGGGATTGAGGCGGTCAAATCTTGGAGGCAGGTCAAACTCTGATTGGAAAAATCGCTCAAAAGTCGATTTTTTTTTTCCCAAAAAAAAAGTTGAAAAGTTAAAAAAAAAAATGAGTTTATGCTTTATTTGATTTATCTTAATTCTTAATTTTAAAGTACCCAATGACATAGGCTTGTAATGTTCAAGTATAATTCTGAATGTGGAAGATTTTCATTTTATATGTATATTGTAAGAATTTTTATTCGATTATGAATTTATGATCTTATTATTATATGATTATGATATATAAATGATGGGGATATAATTATGTTTAAATATATTTATATATATATATTTTGAGTATCTACAAATAATATTTAAAAATGTATTATATTAAATTTGGTAAAACCGATTTATCGCAGATTAATCACTGTTGCGTCGATTAATCGTGAGGATGTGCCTAACCGCCTTGGACCCGATTCCCGCTTTTACAACCTTGCAAATTCTATATAATATACAAGTTCCATTCCAAATTATCATTCCACAAATTACATTTTCAGGACATATCAATTTATTTTAGTATGGAATTATCATTTTAAAAAAAAATTAAAACACCACTAGTAAAAAGAGGCATAAGATTTACAAAAATTAAACGTTGGCGATTCCGAGTATTTATTTAAAACTGATTTTGGATTTTTTTTGGTGCAAACAATTTTCCATTTTGTTATTATTACCAGAAACGTCCTCGAAACTTTTGAATATTTACAAAAACAGCCCCGAAACATTTCATGATAGTTGTCCATGGCGTTTCAGTTTCCGAAACATTTCAAGAATATGGAAACACGTTTTTTTAGAAGTTTCCTTGCATCATAGTTTATAATAAATTGTCGTATGCCACTCATTAGACACATAGCAATACTTTAATGGGAAATTAATTGATAATTATTCTGGCTTGGTACGTTATTGAAAAAAGTGACAGTCCACTATAATTAATTACCCTTGTTAGCATTTGGTGGTGAAGTATGTGAATAAAATTTAGCCACCAAATCAATATTTCTTTTTCTCTTTCCTTTCCCTTTCATTTTTTTTTCTTATAATAATTAATTTTCTTGTACCATTAATTGAAAATTGGTTCTACTAGCTAGCTAAATTATATGAAAATTTAATTTGTAAAAGTAAAAAACAAGCCCCATCCTCGTCATTAAAAGTAACAACTTAGACATAACTATGGGTGCAAATTGATTTAATTAATGTCACGCGCGATGGAAATCATATTGCTAGTACTCATTTTACTATGATTACACGTTTATTATTTATAGTTTTGCCCCTCATTCACAACGTTTAAATATAAGGCCATCAAGAAATTAAATTTCAAATTTAAAAAAGTTCAATTTTCTTAAATTAATAATACATATAGAAAAAAAAAAATCTGGAGCCACTATTCTAAAGGGTCAAAAGTGTAAAGATAATAAATATTTCACCTTTTTAATCTTTGCAACTCTCAATTGACTTTATAGTGTAATAACTTTTGTTGTTGTTATGCTGCCCAAATACTAAACTAGTGCAACTAAGAGTTGAATTTTACAGCATTGGATTTGATTTGATAGATGATACTTCTTACATTGCATGTGACTTAGTGGAGTAATTTGGAGCTTTCTCTCAAATGGCTATACCTATTGGAATAAAAATCTCTTATCATGTTTTTTTGTTACAATATATGGGAATTTATGCAAAATTACTAAATTCATTTATATCTCGAATGAATTATGTTCATAAATTAAACCGAACACATTTATCCAATGCGATCATATACTAAAAACCAAACACTGGTATAGTAAGAGTAGTATTCGGTAAAATAATGGAAATAGAAGAAAGTTATCGCTCAAAATATACGGGGAAATATTTTGCTATAATTATTATAAATTCTGATTAAGGGGCTAGTGAATATTTTGTAGTACATTCATAAAATCTAAGGGGAATTAGAAAAAAAAAAAAAAAAAAAAAACTCCTCATTAGACTGTCTAAATTGAGGTATCTAATTTAAGGTTAAAGACATGCAATTTTCGGTTTTGAATAAAGTGTATTTAGTTAGTTAATTAAGTTAAGTGATTTCAGTCAATCATCTCTCATGATACGGGCCGGCTTGCCCCAAAAGCCCACCAACAAAGGTACGCGAATGAAGCATCCATTTGCCATCAAAGAAAAAGTTGGGTACGTTTGCGAGACGACCGGGGTAATCATATCACACCCACATGTGAGACGACCGGAGCCAGAGGGGGACCCCATCACCACACTCCCGAGGCATGTATAAATACTGTCTTGAGAACCAAGGAAAGATGTATCAAAATAAACACTTCACTTTATTCTCTACGCATATTATTCTCCACTATCTCTACTAATTTGACCGTCGAAATGCTAACGCCGAGAAATATTTTCCCGACACTCTTTTTTGCCGTTTTTTCGTGGACTCTTTTGGGCTCCCTTCGTTTAAGGCCCACACCGTCTCCATTTTCCTATTATTAGCCAAAAGGGCTGCATCAACTTGTCGTTTCGATACTTATAAATAAGTTGACTCAATTGATTTACAAGTGAGCCAACTAGTTTATGACCGAGTCAATATATTTAAATTAGTTGATTAATTGATGATTTTTTGATAATTCTATTTAGTGACAAATCATGAGTGTATTTTTTGCAAAATTGCAGGGCGAGAAATTTTACTCAAAACAAAAATTTATTATCCTTACATCGAAGTAAAATAAATTGAGAGACGTTTCTCAAATTATCAAAATTTATAGATTTTAATAAGGACAATATGCCCTTAAAAATGCCTGTTATGCAATTTCTCCCCTCAAAATAAAAAAAAACGAGACTGTCCCCCTTCAATATATACAACTTGGTGCACTTTGCCCCAAATATGTATTTTCTGTTTAATTCTCACCGAAAAAAGGCTGTATATCTCATTTTACATCTTCCACTTGAGAATCCTCATTTCACAGTTACTTAAGGTTCCCAAATTAACAAAATTCTCTTCCAAATTGATGAAATTCGCTTCTAAATTAGACGAAATTTTCTTTCAAATTCGACAAAATTTGTTCTTTGTTCTTCGTAATCATTGAAATGTAGGGTGAAGAAAGGTTAAATGACATTTGAAGCCATAAAAGATGAAATTACCCTTTCAATTTACTCAAATCCGACAAAAATTAGCTCAAAAATACACATTTGAGGCAAAGTGCACCGAGTTATATATTTCGAAGTAGGAGAGTCTCATTTTTCTATTTTAAGGGGGGAAAGTGAAACAATGACATTTTGTTAGGGGGCGAAGTGCAATTTGCCGTTTCAATAATATTGCCTAAGAACCCCCGCCTGAAAAATTCCCAAATTCAACATTTTGTCTCTTCTACTAAAAAAATAGAAACAAAGGTAAAACAATGGCGGAACCAAAATCCGCCCCCCAGCCTACCACCGCCGTCCCGGCCACCGCCACCGCCACAACCGGCGGCCAATTCCGTGACTTTGTCCGAATGGATCGGCCGAAGTTCCGCGTGACGACGGCGTACGACAGCGACAGCTCCGTATTCCTCCACAAGGTGTCCTGCAAATTATTGGACGATTTAGCGAAGCTGAAGATGTCATTTTCAAGCAACAACAATGGCGAAGTGTGGGAGCCACAAGTCTCGCTCACTTCAAAGCTCTTCTCCCTGCACTACGATGTCGAGGAGCGCGACGCCCTGCTCAAGGCTTCGTTTGAAGCCGCGCCTGGAATGAAGGCTCAGGTCCATTCTCGTTTAGTCTAAGTAGGCCAATCACTATATCTTATAAAGTAATCTTGTGGGACTGACGATATCGGGAAAAGGTGCGTACGTCTGCGAGACGACCGGGATAATCATATCACACCCACATGTGAGATGACCGGAGCCAGAGGGGGACCCCATCACCACACTCCCGAGGCATGCATAAATAGTGTCTTGAGAACCAAGGAAAGATGTATCAAAATAAACACTTAACTTTATTCCCTACACATATTATTCTCCACTATCCCTACTAACTTGACCGTCGAAATGCTAACGCCGAGAAATATTTTCCCGACACTCTTTTTTGCCGGTCTTTCATGGACTCTTTTGGGCTCTTTCTTAGGGCTCCCTTCATTTAAGGCCCACACCGTCACCATTTTCCTATTATTAGCCAAAAGGGTTGCATCAACTTGTCGTTTCGATACTTATAAAAAAGTTGACTCAATTGATTTACAAGTGAGTCAACTAATTTACTACCGAGTCAGTATATTTAAATTAGTTGATTAATTGATATTGATGGCCTTTTGATAATTCTTTTTAGTAACAAATTATGAGTGTAATTTTTTTGCAAAATTGCAGGGCGAGAAATATTACTCGGAACAAAAATTTATTATCCTTACATCGAATTAAAATAAAATTGAGAGACGTTTCTTTTTTTTTTTTTTTTTTGATAAGAAGCCAATTTTATTATTAGGCAAATATAGCCAAGTTCAAGGGAAGGAGATAACCTTCATTACAATAAAGGTCAGTAGCTTTTGCAATGGCATTAACCAAGCAGTTGCCGGTACGTTTGACAAACGAGAAAAAGCAGCATTGAAAAAGTGGTAAAACAGTAAGACAATCCTCAATAAAAATACCATAAGGAGCTGAAGTGGCCACACCTTCTTTAAGGGACTCCGTAATATGCAGACAATCGCTCTCAATAATGATTGACTGCCACCCTAATTCAATCGCAAGACGCATTGCAAGAAGGGCTGCGTGAGCTTCCCCAACGGCTGGTGGCGGTCTCCCAGGGTGCAACTCTCTTCTCCACCTAATGCACTTGCCATTATGGTCGCGCGCTACCATAGACGTCACGTAGTAATCTTGGTCCGGAGGGAAAGCGGCATCAACATTAATTTTGATGAGGTCCGGCGATGGGGGTTTCCACTTTGATGGGTGGTCCTCCCTTGCGGTCGAAGGCTGTTGGAATTGTGCATGGCTATATGCATCAAGGTACGACTTACTCCACCTGACGATTTCTTCAGAGTTCATCATTTGTTCATTGTGCAGAAATTTATTCCGATTATCCCAGATTTTCCACGTCACAATAATCGCCCACCGTACTAGATCCTTATCCAACGAGTGCATGAGATATTGTAGCCACATCCTGAAATTTGGTTGTTCAACTTGGTTTAGGTTACCAAACGGCGCCGACTGCCACAGTTCTTTCATTCCGCAACAATCATGAATAATATGGGATAGCGTTTCACATTTGTTGCACCTAGTACAAAAAGGCGATGAAAGAATCTTCATGCGGAAAAGCTCAACGTTCGTTGGAATAATGTCAAGGCAAGCTCTCCATAAGAAAATCCGAATTTTTGGCGGAAGATGTAAATTCCAAATTTTTTTCCAATCCATCTTCGGTTCACCGCTAGAACCTGTGAGATTAGTGTTTCCTTCCCTCTGGTTCAGCTGTCTTGGTCGGGCAAGAATATTGCGGTAACATGATTTGACCGAAAATTGGCCATTTGGACAGAAAAGCCAAACGAACCGATCTTGTGCGTGCGTGGTACCAATCGGGACAGCAAGAATTCTCTGTTTATCAATTGGCCAGAAGACTTCATCGATTAGAGCCACGTTCCATTTCCTAGTCAATGGGTCAACAATATCAGCAACTCGATTCGGAAATGGCGTGTTGATAGGTCGCTTCGTGAGAACCTTAAAATTGCAATCATCCACAATCCACGGGTCACCCCAAATTGCCGTATCTTGTCCGTTTCCAATTCTAATTCTCAGGCCACTTTGGAGATGAGGTCGGGCTGCCAAAATACTCCTCCACGTCGCCGATGGCCGAAAACCCATGGTTGCTGTGAAGAATGAACCATTGGGAAAATATCTCGCTTTCATAATCTTGGCCAGTAGAAGTTCCGGCTTAGTAACAATTCGCCAAGCTTGCTTGGCAAGCAAGGCCATATTGAAAGTACGCAAGTCGCGGAATCCAAGCCCCCCCTCTTCTTTAGCCAGACACAAATGCTTCCAAGCTAACCATGCCATTTTCCTCTTCGTCCCTGACCCCCACCAAAATCGTCGAATTGCCGATTCAATTTCACCAAGGAGCCCACGCGGAAGTAGGAAGCAACTCATCGCGTACGTAGGAATTTCCTGGAGCACAACCTTTATTAAAACCTCTTTTCCGGCTCTTGATATTTGTTTTTCACCCCACCCGGTAATTTTTGCCCAAACTCGGTCCCGAAGATAGCTAAAGATTTCTTTCCGAGTACGACCCATATTTGTTGGCATTCCCAAGTATTTTTCATGACGCTCCACCACCTTGAAGCCCAAGATTTGGCTCAAAACCTCTTTTGTAGATTGAGGCGTTGTCGGGCTGAATGTCATAGTCGACTTCTCAAGGTTCACCTCCTGGCCAGAAGTTCTTGCAAACAAGCTCAAGATTTGTTTTAGTTTCATGGACTCCGATTGAGAGGCTTCGCAAAATAAGAGAGTATCGTCCGCGAAGCATAAATTCGATATAATGGGGGCCGAGGGAGCCACTTGAATTCCATGCACCTCTCCATTATCCACCGCCCGGTTCACCATTGCAATCAATGCCTCCGCACAACATATGAACAAGTAAGGAGAGAGTGGGTCTCCTTGGCGTAGTCCCCTTGTCGGGTGCACTGAACCAAACTGAGAGCCATTAAAAAGGAAAGCATATGAGACAGAAGAAATACATAACATAACGAGATCAACAAACCCCAAAAGGATACCTAATCTAGCAAGAATTTTTTTCAAGAAAATCCATTCAATCCGATCGTATGCTTTACTTATATCAAGTTTAATGGCCATATAATCCTTGCTTCGACTAGAAGGAGACTTAATTAAGTGGTTAATTTCGAACGCAACAAGAACATTATCAGTGATCAACCGTTTAGGAACAAAAGCAGATTGGGTAGGGGAAATGAGGTCATTTAACACAGATTTTAGCCGATTCGCAATCACTTTCGACCCAAATTTATAAATAACATTGCAAAGGCTAATGGGTCGGTAATCGGTGATTTTTTCAGGAGTTTTTACTTTAGGGATTAAGACAATATATGTGAAATTCATCGGAGAGGGAAGGATTTTTTCGTTGAGGAATTCCAGAACACACGACACTACATTAGCGCCTAGAATATGCCAATATTTAGTATAAAAAATAACCGGTAAGCCATCGGGACCCGGGGATTTGAGAGGTGCCATTTGAGAAATGGCGCGAGTTACCTCAGCTTCGGTAAAAGGGAGGGTTAGCTTCTGGGCGGCATCACCCGAAATCCGAGGTTCAATGCACTCCAACACCTCATCTATCTCAATAACACTTGGATCGGTGGACTTGAAGATTTCCTCGAAAATAATCCGAAATCACTTTTCGATCTCCTCAGGTTTATCTCTCCAAAGCCTGAATTGTCTTTAATTTTGTTAACCGTATTGATCCGTTTCCTCGTAGTGGCCTTTGCATGGAAAAAACTCGTATTCCTATCCCCCTCGCGAACCCATTGAACTTTGCTTCTTTGACGCCAGTACATATCGGTATCAACATAGAGATTCTCTAATTCCGCTTGTAACTCTTTCACCTCCGCTTTGTTCTCTTCTGATATAAGTCCTGATTTAAGCACTTTCAACTTTTTTCTAATTTCTGCAATTCGCATCTGGGGCTGTTTAACGGTGGTTTTGCTCCACCTGAGAAGAGCAAGCCGACATTCTTTGGTCTTGGTCAGAACTTCTTCAACCGGGTTAAGCTCACTATTCCCCGTCCACTGTTGTTGAATAATTGCTTCACAATCTTCTCTTCTAATCCACAATGCTTCAAAGCGAAATGGTCGTCGCCTTCTTGTCGTGTTCCTCGTATTAGTATTATGGGAAAGTAATATTGGACAGTGATCGGAGCCTGGGTAATCGAGATGTGAAACTTGCGCCTGGGAAAACATGGAAATCCACTCTGAATTTGCACAAACTCTATCTAGCCGGCACCGCACAGTGTAAGGCTCGTTTCGATTGTTCGACCAAGTAAACGGATCACCATTGAAACCAATATCAGCCAACCCACAATCAACTAAGGTATCCCGAAAAGCTCGAATACTGGCCAGCGACTTTTGAGGTCCTCCTTTCTTCTCAGCGTTATCAAGTATTTCGTTGAAGTCACCTCCTACCATCCACGGCAAATTGTTTTGATGCTGCAGAGTTCGAAGAAGATTCCATGATTTAAACCGTTGTGATTGATCCGCGAACCCATAAAAGCCTGTAAACCGCCATTTTAAATCTTTGTCCTTATCATATACCATCACGTCTATGTGGTTAAAAGAGAAACTGAGAAGATCGACGTCTATCTCTTTCCGCCACAGTAATGCAAGACCACCCGACTTGCCAACTTTCTCTACCGATGTGCCAAAAAGATTCCACTTCCTTTTAAGGTGTTCAATTCGTTGAGATGTAGATTTCGTCTCGGAAAGGAACACGAGGTCGGGGTGATGTTTTCGGAGAATGTCTCCGAGTACATGAATTGTCAAGGGCACCCCCAACCCTTGACAATTCCAAAGCAGGCAACTCATTGCTGTCGGCGGGACTGCCCCGCAGTCTCCGCCGTTGAGCTGGTTTCCTCATCTCTAAGAGTGAGGTGTTGTTTCTTGCAGACCCGCTGATTCTCTACCTCCATGGATTCTTCTTGTTAGATACCATCACTTTCCTTCTTGGGGTTATGTCTGTCGCATTCGTCGAGATAAGTTGGACCGCATTCGTAACCAAGTTAGATTAATCCATTAGTGTAATCATCGTATTCTCTTTCCCCACTTGAGTACACTGTTGAATCTGGTAATTGTTTGGTTGCGCATTGAAGCCAAAGATATTCGCCCCCCGCACAGAGTTTCTTGATCCACCTTCACTGTTCGACTGAATAGTAGGGTTTGAGGCCTGCAAGGGGAGCCTAGGATGTCCTTTCTCACTATCCCACGTAGCTCGTAGCCAAACTCCATATGGAAGGTTGTCACCTGGGTCGACGAACGCATCCTCGTAGCAAAGATGGCATCTGGTCTCACTATGTCCCACAATTCCACATAGAAAATAGAAATTCGGGAGACGTTCATACGTGAAATTCACCCATTGTTTAGATCCGTCTGAGTTATGTAGATAAATCCCCCGTTTGAGACTTCGTGGCACATCCATAATGACCTTAACTCGAACAAACTGAGCCACCGACAATTGTTTTTGGTTCAACACTTCGATAGTCTCTCCCACCTTGTTGCCAATCTGCATCGCCACATCTATAGATCTCTGGCAAAACGGGATCTGGTGAATTCGGATTACCATAGGCATCTGATTTATCGCCATTGATGTCGGATCCTCGTCTTTCTTTACTTGCTGAAACAAGAGTGCGTTCTTGTCAAGCAGCCATGGGCAGCCACCAAGAGCGTTTTTATAGTCTAGGGCATGGTTGAAACTGATAAGAAATCTATTTGAGCCAAGATGTTGGATCTCACACCCTTTAACAGGTTGAAGAAGCCGGATGATATTCGCCTTGAGGGTGTGTTGAGAATACTCCTTCGCAGAAACCACTCTCCCCACCAGCCGCCAATCATTGACTCTTTTGTTGGTAATTCCCGGGGAGGGCTGGACAATGATTCCCTCTTCCTCCTCCAAAGTCAGATGGAAATTCTTTGCAAGAGAGTCAGTGATGTTGTCCATTATGTGATATGAGAGATAGATGAGATGAAGGGAATGCCGAGAGGATTTCGATGAACCGCTCAAGTTAGGGATCTGGAACAAGGAGGAAGAAATAAAAAGAAAAACGGTTAGCAAAAGGAAAGTTGCGTGAGAAAATAAACCACTGCACAGGAAAACCCTAGCATAGCCGCCAGGGATTATAAGCCAAGACTCGACAATAGTAAACCATACGATCAGATATTATGGATGGAAACTAAGAAAATGAAAACGAGAAAACTGTGAAACTATGATTATGGGCCGAAAGATTTTCAGCAAAGACACCTCTCATGAAGAGAGAAGAAAGCGCCTCTCATGAAGAGAGAAGAGAAAGATATGAGAGACGTTTCTCGAATTATCAAAATTTATAGGTTTTAATGAGGACAAATTGCACTTCACCCCCTTAAAAATGCCTGTTATGCAATTTCTCCCCTAAAAAAAAAACGAGACTGTCCCCCTTCAAAATATACAACTTGGTGCACTTTGCCCCAAATATGTATTTTCTGTCTAATTCTCACCGAATGAAGGGTGTATATCTCATTTTACATCTTCCACTTGAGAATTCTCATTTCATAGTTACTTAGGGTTCCCAAATTAACAAAATCCTCTTTCAATTGATGAAATTCGCTTCTAAATTAGACGAAATTTTCTTTCAAATTCGACAAAATTTGTTCTTTGTTCTTCGTAATCATTGAAATGTAGGGTGAAGAAAGGTTAAATGACATTTGAAGCCATAAAAGATGAAATTACCCTTTCAATTTACTCAAATCCGACAAAAATTAGCTCAAAAATACACATTTGAGGCAAAGTGCACCGAGTTATATATTTCGAAGTAGGAGAGTCTCATTTTTCTATTTTAAGGGGGGAAAGTGAAACAATGACATTTTGTTAGGGGGCGAAGTGCAATTTGCCGTTTCAATAATATTGCCTAAGAACCCCCGCCTGAAAAATTCCCAAATTCAACATTTTGTCTCTTCTACTAAAAAAATAGAAACAAAGGTAAAACAATGGCGGAACCAAAATCCGCCCCCCAGCCTACCACCGCCGTCCCGGCCACCGCCACCGCCACAACCGGCGGCCAATTCCGTGACTTTGTCCGAATGGATCGGCCGAAGTTCCGCGTGACGACGGCGTACGACAGCGACAGCTCCGTATTCCTCCACAAGGTGTCCTGCAAATTATTGGACGATTTAGCGAAGCTGAAGATGTCATTTTCAAGCAACAACAATGGCGAAGTGTGGGAGCCACAAGTCTCGCTCACTTCAAAGCTCTTCTCTCTGCACTACGATGTCGAGGAGCGCGACGCCCTGCTCAAGGCTTCCTTTGAAGCCGCGCCTGGATTGAATTTCAAAGCTTCCCATCAATTCAAGGTTTGATTCTTTTTTATTTCTGCTTTAATCTGGAGATAAGTTTCAGGTTACTAGTGAATTAGGATTTTGATAATTGAAAAAAATAAAAAAAATGAATTCTGGTGTAGGAGCTTATGAGCCTGCATTTCTTTTATGATTTTCCGATTTGATTTTTCTGGGTAATGAATATATACATGTGTGTGTGTGTGTGTGTGTGTGTGTGTGATTAGTTCATGCCCATGGCTGGATAGAAACTGAAATTTCTTATCGAACTCATTGTCCATTCAAGATAACTTAGGGTCCGTTTGGCTAAGATTATTTTAAACAACTGATAAGCTCTTACATCTGATAAGTTGTTTTAAGAGCTGATAAGTGTTTCGATAATGATCTTATAAGCAATTTGTACTCATTATAAGATCTTAAATAAAAAGGTGTGCTCGAGGTAGTTTTGAAAAAAAATCTTATTTACTCTCCATCAACTTATTTTTAGAATTTTTAAGATCTTTTTTAGAAAAAATACCAAACACTTTGGAAGAGCTTATAAGCTCTTGAACATCTTATAAGCTCTTTTTAACAACTTATAAGCTTAGTGGAAGTATTTAAGTTGTAGAAATAACATGAAAAATTAAAACTTTATCCAAATTTTGGATGGAATATTTTGAGGATGTTTGGATTGGGTTTATGTGATTACCAATTTCCCCGATGCAAGGAAATGTTCATCTGGTCGACCATTAATCTACAAGGCTTAGCAGAGATTTCTTCGATTCTGCCTTGTTCGATTTTCCGTTCTAGGATGAAGATGTTGGGTCATAGATATCCCAAATCATCCACAAGAAACATTTTAGAAGCACGTCTTGGTTTTTAACCGTAGAATATTTTACTATATATATTGCTTTTTCTTCTCCAGTGACGAATTTTATGTTTTCGTGTGAAATTGCCAATGTTTGGTTGCTAAATGTTGGCTGTTTGTTTCTTTCTGTGTGCATATTTTACCGACAAATAAATTTGAACATAAAATTACATGCTTGTTTGCTTAACACTATCTTTATATAAATTTTTAGGCTCGACAAGCTGAAGTTGCAATGGTCGCAGATCTTGCAAGCCCCGATTACAAATTGGAATTGTCATCCTTTGTTCCGTCTGTTGGCAAGGTAAGAACTATTTGGGATTGAGATTCCTTAATTATTTCAAATTTTGTTTTTTTTATCTATTTTTTTTTTCTTGGGTGCTGCAGCCGAGAGCAACTTTTAAGTTTCCACTTGGCGAAGTGTCATTGGAGGAGAAAGATGCGGAAGAAGAGGAACAGAAGAAAGCCTTATCAGTGAGCGGGATTCTAAAATATCATATTCTGAATGGATTGTACACTGCTAAATTCGTCGACGAAAATATGGATTTAAGATATGCATTCAAGGTAGTTTCTTTAGCAAATGTGGATATTCGTTAGTGAGAAATTTTTATGCTTTTTTTTTATAATCCAAATTGTCGACTTTTTGTGTGGATTTTTTACATGTAGGATGAGCAAATGACGTTCATTCCGAGCATTTCTATGCCTTCAAATGCAGTTTCGTGTGCATTTAAGCGGAGATTCAGTAATTCGGACAAGTTGAGGTATGTTATTTACATAATACAAAAAAAGTAATTAGGATCAAGTGCCGGACAAAATTAAACCTAAACGGAGGGTTATGTAATTAGATCTAATTTAGATGGTGGTTTGTGTATTTTCAAGCTTGAAAGGGTCTCGATGTAATTAGATCTAATTTAGAGGAAGGTTGGCGTAATTTCCACTAAAAACAGGTGTTTTAGTGAAGTTATCGAGTTTATTTGGCCATTTTCCCACCCGATTGAATATAAGTCATAATTTCATACTCATGCTCTAAAAGCGCATCTAATCCAAAATCAAACAGTTCGATGCTGCAATTATCAACAACTTAGCATCTTATTGCCATCTCTACTTATTCATTTAATTATTTATTTGGCTTTTGGAGATAATATATGATATTTGTTAGTACATTTTGCTAGCAATTTATTACAATTTGTTTGGTTTATATGTTCAGCTATTTATACCACTTCGATTCAAACAATTGGAATGCCGTCTACAAACACACAGTGGGTAAGGACTACAAGTTCAAAGCAGGCTACGATTCTGAAGTTCGACTCGGTTGGGCATCTCTCTGGGTTAGTTTCTTTAACTTTTTTTTTTTCTTTTTTCGATTTTATCGAGAGCTAGAATGGTAGTGTTAGTAATTTTGTTAGCATTTTGCTTCAATATCATATATGCTCTCATGTTTCTTTTTAGTATATATCTCACATCTGAATTGACTAGCCGTAATTTTGTTTTCACGTGGCCAAATATACAAATCTCAAATAAAATAGAATGTTTAAGAAACGGAATTGGGGGGCCAACGCCCCTATATAATGGTGCTAAATGTCGTTTCAATTCTACTGGTACTGTTCAGACTTCAAATATAATTGACTCTTTTTTCAGTCCGAATTTGGTAAAACTTAAAGCACCAAATTTATAGTCTTTTGAGTTGACTTTGTAATTCGACTTGAATCAGCTATATATTTTTACCATCTTACAGTCGAAATCTGAGAAAATTCAAAATATCGAAGTTGCAGCCCTTTAAATTAGCTTTCTATTCCAACTTGAATCAACTAAATTGGTGGTTGAATGAGAAAGTTACATATAATCTTGAACTTACATTACCCGTAAAATTGAAACGACAGTTGCCATTTCAGCATTTGTTATCGAACTCTCACCTCAATGTTATTGCAACCTCAGAAAATGTCGAAGTTTGTTTACTCTTGTCTAAACTTCAGCCTGATGCTATTACACAATTTTCACTTTCAACTGGTACAGCGGAAAATAAATAAATAAAAAACGGAACCAAATAAATAATTTTTTTGTACAAAATGTGGAATTTAATTGAGAATATTTCAGGTTGGAGACGAAGATGGGAAAGCGAAGACGGCACCATTGAAGATGAAAGTGCAGTTGATGGTCCAAGTTCCTCAAGATGACGTAAAATCGACGGCTGTGATGTTCCGAATCAAGAAAAGATGGGACATTTAATTCTCTACACAGTATCGGAATGGAAATGGACGATCATCTAATGTTGTGTTTGTAGACGACACATTTATTAATTGTTGTAATAATAAATTTTATCTTTCCTCAAAATTTCCATTCTTGGTTCAAAATGTTGCCCCTACTATACTTTGGTACACTTTTATTTGTCATTGGGACTCTCTGCTAGTCCAAATTTATTAGATGTTTTGTTGGGAGTGATTTCTTTATTTATCCTTTCACTATTATCAGACTAACGGTGAGTTTGGTTAAGCTTATTTTAAAGAGCCGGTAACTTCTTATATTTGATAAGTTGTTTTACAAGCTTATAACTTGTTACGTCTTATATTTAGGATTAATTTTAAAGTGTTTTAATAATGTTCTTATAAGCTATTTTTATTTATTATAAGATTTTATATAAAAAGGTGGGATATATGTACTTTAAAAAAATAAAATCTTATTTGTTCTTCAACTTTATTGTTGGTAGTAGTAGATTATACTATATTATATTGAATTATTTTATTTTACTTTTTTTGGTAGAACAATTAGGGGTCACTATTTCAAATACTGAATTTTGCTTACTTGAATACCAAAAAAATAAAAAATAAATAATTAATTGTAAATTACTTTAATGCCCTTAATGAAAATTAAAACCAAAAAGATATTACAAATACTATTTTTCTTTCTTAAATACCAAATAATCAAAAACCTAAAAAAAACATTTTCCTCCTCACTCACAAACCCCTCACCTCCTCCACCTCCTTCTTCTCCCTCCCCAACCCTCCCAAAAAACCTCAAAACATAAGAAATCAAAACCTTACACAACTTGCAAAATGGCGTCAAATGACAATAGAATGGTAGTCTACGAGCAATGAGAACCCATTCAGGTATGTATTCATGTATTTTTTGAGCTAAAACATCGATTTTGAATTTTTTTTTTTTAAACTCGCCATGTATTTTCGACACATACAGGTCGAAAATACCCTTATTTTTCGACATGTATGTGTCGAAAACATAACAATTCATATTTTATTAAGTTTCGACACCTAAGTGTCGAATTTTGATACAATTTTCGACACTTAAGTGTCGAAAATATGGGTCATTTTCGACACTTAAGTGTCGATTTTGTTCATGTTGCAAATTTAGTTGTCTTATATTTTCGACACTTTTGTGTAGATCGATTGCACCCATTCATTTACCACGTCAGAAAAATTCCCAACAAAAGAAGCTTTATTGGCATGGGTACATGAAGTATGTAAAAGAATTGGAATGGTGTTAATGATTGCGGGTTCGAGTGACGGGGATAGAGGACGTAGGACACCGTATGTGATTGTTCGTTGTGAGCGTGGGGGCCATTATGTTGGCAAGAAGGTACCAGGTGAAGATGATCAAAGACCGGAAAAAAGGAGCACCGGTTCAAAGAAATGCAATTGTCCGTTTAAATTGAAGGGGACAAGAGAACACAAAGATGATGAAAAGGCTGAGTGGAAATTGGATGTTTATAGTGGTATTCACAACCACAACTTATTTGAAAACTTGCACGGACACTCTTATGCTGGAAGATTATCAAATGAGCAGGTTTCCTTTGTTCACACTATGAAGAAAGCAATGGTGAAACCAAGGGCAATTCTAAGAGCATTGAAGGAAAAGGACCCGTCTAATGTAACTGGTATGAAGACAGTTTACAATACTATCTCTAAGTTAAATTTCAGTAAATTGGATGGGAGATCTCAATTGCAATCATTGTTCGTCAAGTTGAAAGAAGATGAATACCTCTCGTACCATAGATCGAACGAGTTGAATGCGATTACTGACTTGTTGTGGATCCACCCCAAATGCATTAAGTTGGCACAGTCGTATCCGTACGTATTCGTCATCGATTGCACGTACAAGACCAATCGTTACGGACTCCCATTTCTTGAGATTGTGGGTTTTACTTGTACCAACAAGACGTTCTCAATTGCCTTTGCATACTTGGATCACGAAAAGACGGAAAATTTCGAATGGGCGTTGCGTTGTTTGAAGGAGGCCATGACCAGTTGTCCTCGGCCTAATTGCATTGTAACAGATCGAGATTTGGGTTTAATGAAAGCAGTGGCCAATGTGTATCCATCGAGTCATCACTTGCTGTGTCGGTGGCATGTGAACAAGAATATAGTGGCCAATTGTAAGAAATTGTTCACAAAGGACATCACCAAATGGAAGCAATTTCAGTCGGTTTTTTCGGCTCTTATTGAAAGAAATACCATAGAGGAGTTCAATGAGGATTGGGAGTCAATAAAAAGAACATTTATCGGTTGTTCTCAGGCTATAGCATATGTAGCTAATTCATGGTTGGATCCGTACAAGGAGAGACTTGTATCGGTGTGGACAAATAAGTGTACTCATTTTGGAACGTACACTTCTAATAGGGTGGAAGGGGCACACGGACGAATGAAAAGGGATGTGCATAATTCAACTGGCACATTTGTGGATTTGTATACGAAAGTCCACAACCAAATTGTCGAACAACACAATGACATCAAAGCTTCCTTTGAAGTAAGTAAAAATACTTACGAGCACACATTCAAAACGTTGATATACAATGAGCTTCGTGGAAGTATCTCAAAATACGCTCTGCAACTACTCAAAGTTGAGGTGGACAATGCGAAACTATTGCAACCGAGCGATATGGGTTGTAGTTGCGCCATCCGAACAACTCACGGTCTACCATGTTGCCATGAACTTCATGAGTATGTTGTTGTGAACAAATGTCCTATCCCACTTGAGTTAATAGGCTCGTATTGGAAACACATGAGCATGGAGCCCGTCGCGACCACAGACCAAGTCATCCTACCAACCATCGACGAAGAATTATCAGAATACCAGAAGGTCTTTGAATGTGCCGATCTCGATGCAAAAACTCAATTGCGCAACCATTTGAGACATTTTAGCCACCCAGAGAAGACTAACCTTACGGAGCCAAGTGAAAAAGTTGTTAGCAAAGGTCGACCGGCAAAAAATAGGAAAGACAAATCAAGCACTCAGGACAAATCACATTTTGAGTATGTGGAGCCAAAGAAAAAAAAAATCGAAGCAAGCTAGTTGTTCTCCAAAGGTAAATGTCGCTACTATCGTCTCATTTCATTGAAGTTGTATTTTATGATTGTGCTGAGTAATGAAGTGTAATATACTGCAGCTTATACCTGTACTGATGAGATTACGAGGGCACTCGAATGATTCTATTAACACTATACCAACTCAAGAGTCAGGAAAAAGCACTATACCGACGCAAGAGTCGTTCAAACCATTATTTGAAGATGCAGATGTGGGATTGCCACCAGGTTTGATCGGCAAGAATAAGTACATTGACACGATCCATCCACGATTTCGTATGCACGTTCGAGGAATCATCAATGTCGGTTCAGATGGACACTGTGGATTTCGGGCAGTTGCCTCTATGATGGGATTTGGAGAACATGAATGGGGTCGAGTGCGAGATGACATGCTACGGGAGTTGACTTCTAATTTTTCCACTTACACGACCATGCACCGTGGCGAAGAAACCGTTAGAAGCATGCAAGCTATTGTGAGTAACTGGGATGTTCCTGCCACTCGTGATCATTGGATGTCTTTTCCAAATATGGGTCATGTAATTGTTTCAACATACAATATTGTGCTTGTCTACTTATCCAAGTATCAGTGTCTCACGTTCCTTCCTCTATCGAGCGATCCAAAGCTTTTCAGCGAGAGACAAGAGCACGGAATAGCATTCGTCGACAACTGTCACTTCGTGCATGTTGTCTTGAACAACAATTGTCCAATACCTCCTATCGCCGATTATTGGTACCGATGTCATGATCCTAAAGCAGATGGTTGGAAGCCTGCAGAAATGGATGGTCGGATTACAGCATTCCGAGAACTAATAGGTCAAAATGTTGCCACGCGAGAGAGTTTCGAGATTATTACTATATCAGACAATGGTGATAGTTCTCCGAACAAAACTATGTAAAGTTACTGGTGCTAGGTTTCAATGTTATTAAGTGTTGTTTTTTTTGAAAAATAGCAATTTTTATTTGTTTTGTGAAATTAACCCCAAATATATTGCAAGGTAACATAAAAAACATATTCTAAGTGTTTTTGGACAAAAAAAATAAAAATTGCAATTTTTATTTTTTTTGTGAAATTAACCCCAAATATATTGCAAGGTAAGATAAAAAAACATATTCTAAGTGTTTTTGGACAAAAAAAAATAAAATTCAAATTATCAAAAATATTTTCATTTAAAACAACCAAAATTCATATAAAACTAAATTAAATAAAATCCATCAAACAACATCCATCTAAAAAATACCATCTAAACCACACACAATCCATCAACTAAATTGCCTAAAACACACAAGACTAATCCTGTGTTTTTTTCTTCCTACTAAACACACGTTTCACAACCGCCTGTGGGGCATCCGACGAGCTCGATGGAGGTGGAAGTGGGGCATCCGGCTCGATCAATCTGACAATATTATTTAGGGTCCCCCACATGACCGTATGAGCGTCGGATGGCGCAAGTCCCCGCACCTCGCTAAGTGTACCCTTCACCAACTCCAAAATTTGTGAAAGTTGGACCTCCTTATCGGTACCACCCCCTGGACGAGCTTCATGTGGTCGAGGTCGATCCGCCTGGGGTCGAGGTGGATGGGCTCCATGCCTACTCAGTTGTAACATGCATCTGGGTCGGAACCAATTCATGTAGTCCGGCGAAGTGTCCGCCTCCCCGAGTTCAACTTCAACGGACCTCGACTCCTCGTCCAGACAATACTCCTCCCACCGATCAGAGAATCGTTCGCCGTACGCAACGAAAATAGAGTTCTGGACCGATCGACCTTTGCTAACAAGAGCTTTGTACATATCTTTTGACATGTAGGCACGACCTGGAATAATTTGCACCCGGTTGAACTGCCTCAACACTCTGTCCGGATGATATGCCTCGAAGTGGTCCATGCAACATATCATCCCACTAAACCAAGCAGAATCTGGCATCGGGAAACGATCACGAATAGCCGTATACGGTGACCATAAAACCTAGTAAAATAAATAAAAAATTAGATTTAAAAACCTACTTAAGTAGTAATAACAAATTATTAAACTGGTATTTTACCTGATCGGGGATCAAATCATCTAATCGAGATCGCAGATACGACGCTCGTTCAGGCGTTGAAGTAGTCTTTGACTGAGGCTCCCATCGGCTCGCTAATGGCCCCTCGAATTCCGTCTTCAATGTGCCACCCGCCAAATAAGGAAAGTGCTCGTAAATCCATGACTGAAAGAGCGTCAGCCAGCCAGCCATCGAGTTCGTTGATTTTTGTGAGGCTGACGAAAGCTCATCGTACAACCGGCAAAGACATGCAGTGCCCCAAGCATACTCGCCGATCCGATCCAAATCAGATACGAGATTTAGATACTCCACGCTTACCATGTTGCCTGTCTTGTCGCACAGTATAGTACACCCGAGCAAAAATAACAAATACGCCCGAATGGCGTATGTCCTCTTCTCCGCACTATCTCTCATGGTCACTTTGCTAAATTTAGCCTTCAACCATTCCAACTTCACCGCTTTCTTCTTGTTTACATCGTCCGGGTACTCACCTAGCAACTCGAACATCAAACTACTGGGCTTCGTTTTGGAATCACGGATCAAACGCTCGCAAGATACGGTACGCCCAACAACTGACAAACCGAACAACGTACTCACATCATCAAGTGTGATGGTCATCTCTCCAACAGGTAAATGAAATGTGTTGGTAGCTGGCTGCCATCTCTCTATGAAGGCTCTAAGTAGATGGCCGTCCACAGTGTTGTACGATGCTTGTACAACTGACATTAATCCACATCTTTGTACTACCTCTGTAATAAACGGCGCCGCCACCCAACCTTTCAAAGTTCCTGTGTGATTTCGAATTCGAAATTCTGAGCCGCGCTCCGAGCGATCTGGCCCTCCGTTCACAATATGATAAGCAATGTGCTTATCAAAATTTGTGTACAATTCCGGTATCTCGGGACCTCGGACCGGTTCGTTGCTCGAATCACCAACTTCTACAGTCGAAGGTAGAGCCGGCACCGGATTCGTTGACGAAGAACCCTCTCCAGACTTCTTCTTGGTCGTGGTCTTTTTCTTGGTCGTGACTGCTATGCCCTTGCCTCTATCGGATAATTCCTTCCTCTTCTTACGGTTCGAGACAGTCGGAGGTATACGAGGTTCACGTGGTTCTTCCACTGCAAAATAAAGACACAAATAAAAATTAATATACATAATATAAACACAAACAAATAAAAATAGGAAAGAAAACAAATTAATAATTAAAAAAAAAAAAATTACACAGATCAAATTCGACAGCTTGCTGTCGAAAATTCATCAAAATTCGACAGCTAGCTGTCGAAAATTGGATGAATATTCGACAGCAAGCTGTCGAAAACTAATCCAAAATTCGACAGCTATCTGTCGAATTACCAAAGATCCAATTTCAAGATTTCACATTTTTCGACACCTATATGTCGATTTGTGATGAATTTTCGACGTCAACCTGTCGAAAATTCATCAAAAATCGACATATACAGGTCGAAAAATGTGAACGAAGAACCGACCCACGAATCTCAAATCAATGCTCAAATCGACTGAAAGTAGATGCACCCATTACTAATTAACGATCATTTCTACCTAAAATAATCAAATCCTAGTTACCCATATCAAACAATCAAAACTTAAATAAATATTAAAGAAAAAAAAATCGAAACAAATATTGCTTGTATTCGAAGACGACGACGGCGGCGGGCTTGGGCGACGTTGGGCGGCGTTGGGCGGCGTTCGGCGGTGTTTGGCGTCGGCGTCCGGCGGCGGCGAGGGTTGGAGCGGCGGCGGCGTCCGGCGGCGTGGGAGGGGTTGACGGAGGTTTTTTTTTTTGTGTTTGAAAGTTTTTTTTTTTTTTTTTTATTTGGTTTTCAAATAGGTAATTTCACATAAAATTTGATATAATTAATATTTTGTATGAAAGGGTGTTTTTGTACTTTTCTTTTTATTTTGGTATTAAAGTGAGAAAAAACTTATAAATATGTACTCAATTGTGGTTTTCAACTTGGTAGTATTCAAGTAAGCAAAAGTTAATATTTGAAATAGTTGCCCCGAACAATTATGTTCATTATCATTATTTGGCAGTCTTATAGTATTGAAATATTATCAATAAATAAAAGTATATATATATAGGATTCTTTTTTAATTTAGTGTTTAATAGAAATAGAAAATAATAAGTATGCATACTAATTATTTGTAAAAATCAGTTATTGTTTTCTGTTATGTTAAAAATATGTTAAATATATTCATTAGTGTTGATGAAAAGTCAATATTCTCTCATAAAAATAAAAAAAAGTCAAATATTCTTTTATTTGATTTGATTTTTAAAAATCATTAAAATAAAACAGAAAGGGCAGAAAAGGAAGAAATGAAAAAAAGAAAAGGATATGCCCTTTTCATTATAATCATACATCTTCTCTCTCTCACTTTCTCTCTCTATATCTTCTCTCTCTAAAAGGGGCTTTACAGAAAGGATGGCAGAAGCTCAAGAACTGTGAGCCAACCAAATTGACCACCATTACTCTTTCCTTCATCCCTTCTGTTATCATCAGTTTTCATCAATTACAACAAATATTCATATTAATTAATTTTAATTTCATTCTCAAAAAAAAAAAAAAAAAAACGAGGCAGCAAAATGACCTCGCCTCTTCCTCATTTCTCTACAGTTATCCCTCCTACTGTTAGTGGCAGTAGGTTTACTCGTTTCGATCCCATTTATTTTTCTTCCTTCAGCCGTAGACGATTTGCCCCTCTGTCCAACTGTTCTTTCCAGAAAAATAAGGTATTTTTTTCCTTTTTTTTTTATTATTTAATATTCTATTGTTTTTTCAATTGTTTTTTTTTTCATTAAATTCTGGGTTATGGGGTTCCATTGATTTGCTCTGTCTTTGTTATTTTGCTCAGATTTGAGAAATTTATTTAATCAAGAAAATAATAGATTATATATTTTGACCTAGTGTGCTGCAAATCTAGTTATGGGCTTCGCCGTAGAAAGTATAGATCACGGTACATCCCACGATTTCGCGGTTTTGCCACAATCGACATTTGTTCGCATTACATGAATTTCCTTGATTTACGGTTTTTCGGTGTCGAATGGGCATTTTTGTGTATCCATTGCAGTTGATTAGGCAAATGACGAAGCTTTTCTTGGCGTACTAGTAGTTTCCTCGGTTGAGACGAGCAACTTGATTGTAACATTACAAGATTCCTTAAAATGAAATCGATTTTGGGAATTGTAACGAGTCGGGAGCAGTAGATGATGTTGGTTTTTGTTATTCACAAAAGGGAAATTGTTAATTTGATTTGCACTCGTATTTATATGTGTATGTGTGTGTTCGTGTGTTACGTGCCACGTAAAGACTTGAGTGTTAATATGTTACTGATTGACATTCATATATTAATTCAGATTACATTTATATCGGGTTTTCATCCAACAAATCTACACGAGACAGGTTAAGAGTAAACATGTATGTGTGTGTGGTGGGGGGGGGGGGGGGGGGTGTCGAGAAAAGACGTATCTTCTGTATGATGCTTGAAAATCCATAAGGATTAGAATCGACCTTTCTAGAACGATAAAATTCTATTTGAAAATTTTACAGAAGGTCGGTATAAATAGAAAAAATATTTAGCTTTAGATGCTGGCTACTTTCTATATTAACGTATGCAAATTTCTTCGACAACTTCATACATGTGTAGTAGATAATAGAAAGAAATAGACGAATAGTCAACGGCACCAATAGCGCACTCATTTCATACGAGACGCTTGTTTTACTCTGTAATGTGCCAAAATTGCATTTGACGACTAACTTGTCTTAAATCATATATTTTTCGACGGATCAGTTGGTTTTCACTAATGATTTACTATCAGGGGCGTCTTGTTTTCTGTGTGCTGGTATAGTTGCCTTCTGGATATGAGAGCACAACAAGACGTCAAAGAATAGATAATTCGATCGATGAAGATAAAAAACACGAGATCCAAATGTTCGGGTCCGGTGATGAAGTTTCCACAAAGATTCCAACTCAAGCCCAGTCTCTCGTCGAAGGATCTAATTCCGTTTTGGTCTCCGAATATAAACCGAGTGCTGATGTGGATTACCTCCAGGTTTTGACAATCATGCTCTTATCTAATTCTTGATTCTCCATTCATTTTTAATTATTTGGTATCTGCAATAAATTAAAGACTGTTTGAATTTCAATTCTATTGCATATTGGAGCCGTTTTTAGGAATACAGTAATTTAGACGCCAATCGGTATTATTTCCTACTAATTAACTGAAGTTGTTCTGCTATGGAAACTTTAAATCACTGCGATAAACGTAAAAAAATGTATTTTTAAATGCCTCATTTCTTAGTTTCGAGCTTTCTTTTTCCTAATTAGGAAGAGACGCATGTTTTCTCGATCTTATTTGTAAATCATGCAATCATGATAATGGCCTGTAACAAGTTCGACAATAAACATAAAAGTCTTATTCTTAATATATCAATAATATACGAGTCTTGAATACGGCTACTAAACCTGAACAAAAAAATTATAGATTGGCACAAAAATAAATAATAAAACATTAGGGGTGCATTTTTCACATATTCTCGTCATGTTTGTTAACCTTTTTACGTTGTGAATTATTTCCCTTTCGCAAATTTCAATTTTATTCTTGAATTCTGGTACTGGGGTTATCGAGTATGATCCTTGATCTCGTGTATAATAAAGATCACTGCTTTTGTGATTCTTGAAATTAGATATGTATAATAATCGCTTGTAAATATTATCTCGATACTCAAAATATTTAACCGTTGTTGCCTTTTTCAGGAGTTACTAGCAATTCAACAACAAGGGCCGAGAACAATTGGCTTTTTCGGGACACGAAATATGGGGTTCATGCATCAAGAACTCATCGAGATTCTCAGCTATGCACTGGTCATAACCGTACGTGTTTTATTAATTAATTAATAAAATAATAAATAAATAAATGCCTTGATGATTCTTAATACGGGCCCACCCTTTTGATTTATTTGTAGAAAAACCATTTATTCACCTCAGGAGCATCAGGTACTAACGCAGCTGTTATAAGAGGAGCTCTTCGTGCTGAAAAACCCGAGCTTCTTACTGTTATTTTGCCTCAAAGTTTGAAGAAGCAACCCCCCGAGAGTCAAGAATTGCTCTCTAAGGTAAAAAAAAATAAAAATTGGATCTTTATATCTTTGAATGTTAAATTTTCGAATTTTTATTTTATTTTATTATTATTAATTGTTTTTGACAGGTAAAGAATGTAGTCGAGAAGCCTTACAACGACCATCTTCCTCTGATAGAAGCCAGCAGGTACCATTTCTCTTACATGGTTATTCGTTTGTAATTTCTGGTGTTGAATTTAGCATTTTTTTTTAGAAATAATATATCTAAAGTAGAGTGACTAATTTTAAATCGAGTTGATCTTTAGTCGAACGTATCATATCTCAAAATAGAAATTCCTGACGATAACAAATCAAATTTATGAAATGATCCATCTTGTTTGCGAAATCACAGCCATAGAAAGATTTAACACGACCAATAAAATGCCTATATTGCCCCTGAAGAGAAAAAAAAATAGAAAATTTAAATTTTAAATGATCCCCTAAAGTATATGCTTAGATTACAAAAATCCTCCTTTACTTTGTAAAATTACATTTAACCTCTCAAACTAACTATATATCAAAATTTTAATGTAAACCGTGCAATTACTAAATTACCCTTGAAAAATGTAACTATGCAAAAAAGACTAATTTTGTTTTCCTTCGTATTTTAGCCTTACCTAAAGGAGGTATTCGTATTTTGGCCCCTGTAAATGTTTATTTTGATTGAAAAATTAAGACGGTATTTAATATTGCGTATGCTTAAACTGCAGGTTGTGTAACATGGACATAATCTCACAAGTTCAACAGGTTATTTGTTTCGCGTTTCACGACAGTAGATTACTCATGGAAACCTGTCAAGAAGCTAAGAATATGCGAAAGATTGTTACTCTTTTTTATCTCGATTGATTCGACTTTCGAGTCCTAAAGGCACTAATCGTTTGTCAATATGTCGTTATTCAAAAAGGTGATTTTTTTTTTTTAAATTTTAAATTTTGGGTTTAAATGGCTCATTTAGCTTGAAGATGCTAGTTTTGATTCCAACTTGTTTGGCCAAATTGGATTTGATTTGAATGATGGGGTTCATTTTTTGTGTTACTTTATTATTTAAATTCATGTGTACAATACTGCCTTCAGACTTTTCTTATTTTAATAGTACCAGTTTTTATGAAATATTTATTATTTAATATCTATGAAAATTACATTTTTTTTTGACATAAAAATGTTGGTCGGTGTATCTCAATACTTCTTTCAAATAATCTAATTCACCATCTACATTTTGTTTCTTTGATAAAATTTATCCTTACAATCTATATTTAAAAAATGATTATTTCAGTTTGTCTTATTCAACACATGTCGGGTGTGCTTACACAGTAAGATAAAATAATAACTACAAAAGTTATTCTTTGTTTACTATAATGCATCTGTTTACTATGATGCAGACAAATTACTTAAATATTGTGGTACAATTTTTTTCGATGGTAGGTTTGTGGTCCCGATTTGCCAACTAAGTTCGTCCACCATAAACCCGGGGTAGAAAGAAGGAATTCTATTAGGACTGCTATAAATTCAAGAGAATGCAACTATAAAAACACCATCTTCTCCGATATACCTTCTCGTCCTTGAATCTTTAACACGACACAATTATTCGAAATAAAATGCTATTTAAAAATTGAATGAAGACAACAACGTGAGAACTTTAAATCTAAAAAATCAATCAGTTGCAAAACAAAAACGAATAAAATTTCATCTCCATTCCCTTCCATTATACATACATGCTATACTATGTGTTATATCCCATAACAAATTACCTTAAAACGAAAAGATGATTGATCTACTACGCTGCAACTTAAAACAAAATCAGGAAAATGAAAATACGTTCACCAGAATAATGCAATTAAGGGGAAAAAAATATAAAAAAATTAAATTAAAGTTATTTGCATACATTGTATATAGTTACGTTGGTTCCGAATCAATAATCCGTGCTCCAAAGAGATCCACGTGTATACCAGTCAAGTCTTCAAAAGAAGAGATATGCTACTTTGTAGAGAAAGAAGATGCATTCTCCCGTTTCTGCGAGATGGCCGACGTAGAGAGGCTTGAATCTATCTTAACGACGCCCACGGATATTTTAGAACAACGATCGAGGGGTCTTCCATGGTCGTTGTGGAACCGCATTCGTCCTGATCTCCTTGACCGCCGGCGTCAGATTCCCAATTCGCGAAAGAAGAGAAGAAGTGATGAAGAGAAAAGTCGACGAGAGAACTTTAGTTCAAAATTTTTGGCTATGGTTTTATGATTATAAAATCTGTCAATTATGAATAATACAAGTACAACACCTAGTAATTATATAAATGGTAAATAGCACTTTAACCCTCATGTGTTGCAAGCTTTTGCAGATGACCTCATTGTGCTCGTAATATCAGCACATAACCCCCTTGTGGTTTAGGAGGTAGCTTCCGTTAGTTTTTCCATCAAACTTAACTGTTCGTGTCAAACTTCAAGGGATTTATCTGCAAAAATGAAAGGGAAAATGTAAGCACAATGGGGTCATCTGTAAAAAAAATACTTTAAAATTTGACACAGACGGTTAAGTTAATTAGACAGAAAAACTATCGGAAACTACTCCCTAAACCACAAGGAGTTTATGTGTTGATATTACGAGCACAAGGAAGTCATCTGCAAAAGAGCTATTTAACCACATGGGAGTTGAGTACTATTTACCCTTAGGGTCCATTTGGATGGAGGGATTTGGAGGAGGGATTTCAAATCCATAATAACAAATTCCTGGGACTTGTTTGGATTGAGGGATTTGACGATGAATTTCAAATCCACACCCCTCCTTTTTAGTTGTTTTTGGAGCAATTGGTGTGGATTTCAAATGACTCCAAATTTGGAGTCATTCCAAATCCCTTCCCCAAATCAAATCCTCCTCCAAATCCCTCCATCCAAACGCACTCCTAGATAAATATTAATTTAACTAAACAATCAAGGACGGTTTCACTAATATTGAAAAATAATGTTAATCCATCATAATATACCCTAATGTGTTGAAGGTTCTCACCAATAAGTTTTTTTTTTTTTTTTTTTTTTTTTAATTTTATAATTCAACCTGCATCATTAATGAATATCTACTAGAAAAATTATAGGGAGTAATTAGGTAATAAAAGAGTTGAAATAAATTGTGTAATGTGTTAGGCAGTAACTATAAAGCTATATAAAGTCATGTATAGATATCACACTTGCCCCCTAATAGCATTCCACATTTTTCTCTCGTTTACTTTTTTTTTTCTTCCAGTGTATGTGCTCGTAATATCAACTCATAATTCTCTTATAATTGATATATATAGGAGTACTAGTGTTTGCTAATTTTTCTGTCTTAATTAACTGTGCTGCCAAATCTCAAAAGAAAAAATGCAAGCACAAGGGGTCGGGTTATAATTGACATGCACAGTTAATTTTGACGCAAAGCTAACGGAAGCTACCCTATCAATCACAAGAAGGATTATGAACTGATATTACGAACACAGGGGTTATCTGCAAAAACTTGTAACCAACAAGGAGTTGAGTGCTATTTACCGAATAAACCGAATAAATAAATTTATAGGATATATACATAGCCTCCAATAGTATAAAAACCGATATATCCAACATATATTCATATCTATGTGTAAGCATGAAAATCAAAATAGTTAGCAGTAAACTGATAAAACCAAGTACCCCAACTCCTCAAAACCTTAACAAGTACAAAATTTCATTCATAGATGAGCTTATGCCACCGGTGAATACGAGAACCGTTTTGTTTTACTATCCAATATTAACGAATAATCGGAAACAAAACGATAGCAGCCAGTTGTTACAGCTGGCAGAATCATTGTCCGAAATCCTACCGAAATTCTACCCTCTTGCTGGAAGATACATCAAGAATGATGTCTTCGTCGACTGCAATGATCAAGGCGTACAGTTTGTCGAAGCACAAGTTGTTGATGATGACGTGGATTTCAACGATATTGTCTCGAAAATGGAGATGGAGGAACTCAATAAACTCCTATCGGGTAAAATACACCAAATCGACGAATCTCCGACGGATCCACTCATGTCTATTCACGTGACAACATTCAAGTGCGGTGGGCTTTCGATTGGCGTCAGTGTTTCTCACAGAATCTTCGATGCATATTCTTTAGGGATATTCATAAACGCCTGGTCAAACGCCAGTCATCCAAATCCAGGTGGCGAAATCAAGATCATTTGCCCGCGTTTTGATTTGGCAACGTCGTTTCCGGGCTACGGGTCTAGTTCCGGGCCGTCTGTGGTTCGCTCATCATCTACTCCTAGCTCTATTGTGAAGAGGTTCTCGTTTAACAAGGATGCAATAACAAGCGCGAGATCAAAACTAATTCAAAGGCCAAATAGTTATTACTCGAGGGTGCGTGTGGTGTGTGCAGTTATAGCCAATGCCCTAATGGGTGTGGATCGGGCCAAACACGGAGGAAAATCAAGACCTTGCCTCATTGTTCAAGCGGTCAACATGCGTGGGAGAACGAACCCACCGAAGCACAAGTATTCTTGTGGGAATTTTGCGACATATTCACTCACCTATATCGAAGATGATTGTAAGAACATATTCGGGGTTCAAGTATTGGCGGATAATATGGGTGATTCTGTCGAAAAGACCGTGAATAGTTGTGCTCAAATACTTTCTCAACGTGCGAAACTACATAGTACAATCACGGAAACTTTTGCGAACGTCGGGAGAAAAACATCGAGTAGTGAGGTGAATGTTATGTACTTTACGGATTGGAGTAAGTTTGGATTGTATGACGTTGATTTCGGTTGGGGGAAGCCTGTCGGGGCAGCGATCGGAGCAATGCTCGGAGAGAACGTCGTAAAGCTTATGGGTAACAAAGAGGGTGACGGAATCGAGGCGTGGGTGCATTTGAATTTCGACGACATGGCGTACTTCGAGCAAGACCAGGATATCAAATTACTTGCAACATAAGTTATATATATAATAATGTTATGAAAAATACTAAAATACCACTGTCATTAGTAATTTTTAATTAACTAAGAAAGAGTGATAATAGACAAAATTGATAAAAATGCAGTTAATAATTTATTGGAACTATAAAATGACAAATAATTTGGTAAAAAAGAAACCTAACTCGTTTGCATACTATCTATCATTTGAAAATTATGATAATGCATTAATTACTAATTTTTCAAATTTTCGCTAATTAATTCTTCTTTTTATTTTGTGCCGAAGCATTGAGTGCTTCGTTTCGAAAAGAGGAAAACACGGGACAATTATATGGCATTGTAGTTGACGACGACATGATGATTTCAGATTATTTTCGATTTCGAGAATGAATGTTTGTAATCCGATTTCCGAGATCAGATTATTTTTGATTTTGGAATGAACCGAAGTTACGATTTTTGAAAGCATGCAAGGGGATACTATCAGTTTTCCTAAAACCAATTGTTGTTACGAAAGACACAAATCCTAGTCTTATAGTGCATTCAACACACACAAGTGCCAACGACAGAATATCGTGGGCGAGTACCATATCTTTTACATGGTTATTCGTTCATATTTTCTGGAGTACAACAATTAATTTTTTAAGGGAAATCGAAAATCAATTCGACTTGCCTAATCAGGAACTAAGTCTACTTGAAAGTAGAAATATAGAGTTAGGCAGCAAAACTGATGATCAATTAAATAAATTAATAGAATATAAATAATCTCCAATATTATAAAAGAAGAGATATCCAAATTCCAACATATTATATTCATATCTATGTGTAAGCATGAAAATCAAAATAGTAAGCAAGAAATTGATAAAACCAAGTACTCCAACTCCTCAAAGCCTTAGCAAGTACAAGATTTCTTTCATAGATGAGCTTATGCCACAACAAATTACGGGCACCATTTTCTTTTACTATCCAATATTATCGAATACTCGAAAACAACAAAATATGTTACAGCTGGCAGAATCATTGTCCGAAATCCTACAGAGATTCTACCCTCTTGCCGGAAGATACATCAAGAAAGATGGCTTCGTCGACTGCAGTGATCAAGGCGTAGAGTTTGTCGAAGCACAAGCTGTTAGCGATGACGTGGATTTTGACGATATTGTCTCGAAAATGGAAATGGAGGAACTGAATAAGTTATTATCACGTAATTTAGACCAAGTTGACGAATTACCGACGGATCCACTCCTGTCTATTCAGGTGACGGAATTTAAGTGCGGGGGACTTGCAATTGGCGTCAGCGTTGCTCACAGAATCTTCGATGGATATTCTTTTGGAATATTCATGGACGCATGGTCAAACACCAACAACAACAACAACAACAACAATCATCCAAATCCAGGTGGCGAAATCATGATCATTTGCCCGAGTTTTGATTTGGCAACGTTGTTTCCGGGCTACGGGCCTAGTTCCGGGCTGTCCGTGGCTCGCTCATCATATCCTCCTAGCCCTATCGTGAAGAGGTTCGCGTTTAGCAAGGATGCAATAACAAGCGTAAGATCGAAACTAATTCAAAGGCCAAATAGTTATTACTCGAGGGTGCGTGTGGTGTGTGCAGTTATAGCCAAGGCCCTAATCGGGGTGGATCGGGCCAAGCTTGGAGGAAAATCAAGACCTTGCCTCATTGGTCAAGCGGTCAACATGCGTGGTAGAACGAACCCACCGATGCACAAGTATTCTTGTGGGAATTTCGTGTTAACGTCACTCACACAACTTTCCGAAAACATAATTGGGGTTCAAGAATTGGCGGATAATATGGGTGATTCTGTCCGAAAGACCGTGGATAGTTGTGCCGAAATACTTTCTCAAAGTGCGAAACTACATAGTACAATCACGGAAACTTTTGCCTACATCCGAGGGAAAAGATTGAGCGGTGAGGTGAACGGTATGTACTTTACGGATTGGAGTAAGTTTGGATTGTACGACGTTGATTTCGGTTGGGGGAAGCCTGTCGGGGCAGGGATCGGAGGAGTGCTCACAACGAACGTCGTAAGACTTGTGAGTAACAAAGAGGGTGATGGAATCGAGGCGTGGGTGCATTTAAATTTCAACGACATGGCGTACTTCGAGCAAGACCGGGATATCAAATTACTTGCAACCTAAGTTATAATAATATTATGAAAAGTAATTTTTTATTTCTAGTGAATTATTGATTTCTTTGGGTTACAATTACAAAATTAAAGACCCTTTAAATAAATAATAAAATGACTCTTGAAACTCTTGCCTAGATAACTAAAATGGACTTTCAAACTACCAAGTGAACGAGTAATAAAGTGCATGAATATTGAAATGCATGCATACCAAAGTGCATTAGTTTGAACATTAGAATCTAAACTGAAACGGAGGAGTGTTGGTGGTGGGCTGATAATAAGGGCAACAACGGGGGCCGCGGTCGTGGTTTTGGTTAAGAACGACGGGTGGCAGTGACTGACAGACTGAGATATGGAACAATGGGGCGACAGTAGATGGGTAGAGAATACCGGAGCGGCAGTAGCTGAGGTAGAGAATATTAGAGGACGAGCAATTTTAAATCTTTGGTGGAAGAAATGGACAAGCGGCTGGCCGGTGAAAAGATAATAGAGATTGGAGAATAGCGGAGAGAATGTAAATAGGTGTTGGGTGCTAAATACCAACACGCAAGTGTACGTATCGCAAACAAGTAGTAAAGTAGACTCGTGAGAGTCGGATGTCGATCCCACAGGGAATACGCAAATTATTTAATCCTAAGTACCAAATCCTAACAATTGTGATTTTTATCCAGCCTACGCAAGGTTGTCAAATTAATTAACTAATAAAATTAAAATAATTAAGAAAACAAGTAATCACGAGAAAATATCAATATAAAATGGATCTAGGATTTTATCTTCCCCCTATGCGATAATTCTTCACCCAATTAATCTCCTATCATGCAAGTTACGATTCTCGATTATTAACCCAAGACACGAAATTATTCATAACCAGCTGTCGCTGCGCTATAAACCTATTATTCATAAAAGATTTACTATATGTCTATGCAAACCTAGTATAAATAAAGCATTAAATAGCAAGTCTCGTAAACGGCTACCTAAGGTATTATCTGTATGTCTACGATAATACATGCAATCAACACACGCATTCGGTGAAAAACTACTCGAAGGCTCTTCTATCCCTGTTCTAATTATTAAAACGATCTGTCAATCAATTCTAACAATAACAAATAGCAACATAAGTTAGCTACGCTCATGCACTAAATACGATCAAAATAGAAGAAATAATCGAAGAATTAAACTTGCATAAAAGTAGAAAAATAGGTTCGAATCACCACATAGGGTTCCAATAAAATCCTAGAATAAAAACTTAGCTACTCATGTTCGTAACGAAAAGCATAATAAAAATACGGAAATTCATAAAAATCAGAAAAGAAAAGGAAAAAGGAAACTAGGATGAAGATTCGTCAAGTCTTCGTCTTCGTTCTCTTGCTCCTCGATTGCGTGTAGAAACGATAAAAACTCCAAATAAAAATAAAAGGTAAAAGATTCAAGATAGGTCTAATTGTGTGCTTGTGGCCTTTAAATAGGGTGCAAAAGTCTAATAGGGCGGGTTTCCTTGTATAATTGAGTTCCCTTCACTGCGCCATCACGTCCACTCACACGGCCGTGTGAGATTTTGAACTAAAATCCGCACGGCCGTGCGGTCTTTTAATTCTTCAGAAATCTACTTTTTTCACTTCTGGCCCACTTTTTCTCTGAATTTGCAGTTTTCACCCCAAAAGTTGTCAATTCTTCAATTTGCACCTAAAATACAAATAATAACCAAATTAAGCACCAATTATCGTAAAAACACACCAAAAGCTCCAATTAAAAGGTATAATTAAGTGTATAAATATACACTTAACACACCCCCAAACTTGAACTTTTGCTTGTCCTCAAGTAAAATCAAATCAAGAACACAAACCAAAACCATGCATCTCATTACATAGATCGATGGGTCAACTTAGCGTTTTCAGAATTTGCAATTATGATGACAATTCATAGGTATTCGCAAGCTTAACATTCAACGGCACTTAGTCACTCACTATTACCAAAAACCACAAATCATACAATTGCTTCAAGTATCCAATATTTGCAAGTTAAAGATAGAAAGAATTTGTACTTACATGCATATATTTGACTCCAAATACTCACCAAATTATTTTACTCAACTAATATTGAACAATAAGCTATTGGGATCATTGGGACTTTGTGGCTTTCAATTGTTAGGCTCTTTGGTCCGAGGTAGGTAATATGGGTATATGTGGCTAATTTTCTTGAATTGAGGTGATTACGCCAAAATTTGAAAGATAGGCGTTTGAAACACTGAATTCACCTCTAGGGACTTAAATAAACTCGATTCTCCAAAATTCACACGTCAACACTTTTGCCTTGAGGCAATGGATCGAGTTTTCAACACAACTCAACAACTAGTCCTTATTTCTCCCTTCTAATCTATTCTTCTTCTTCTTTTTATTTTTTTTTTCTTTTTCTTTCCTTTTTTTTTTTTTTTTTTTTTTTTTTTTTTTTTTTTTTTTTTTTTCCCCAACCCGGAGGTTTTAAATTTTTTTTTTTTTTTTGGAAAGGGCCCAAAAAACCCCCCCCTTTTCCTTTTCCCCTTTTTTTTTTTTTTTTTTTTTTTTTTTTAAATTTTTTTTTTAATTTTTTTTTTTTTTTTTAGAAGAAGAAGAAAGATCTAATAAAACATTTCGACCGAACTCCAAGGGATAATTATTCAAAAATCTCCACTTTTCCACCTTCTACATATTAGCTAAAAGAAAGAACACCTTTTTTCTCCGAGGCTCAAATCAAGGTTCTAAGGATAAAAATTTAAAGGTAGGCTTGAAAGGCTCAAACGGTTCAAAGAAGGCCCAAATCATATCCCAAATCACTTATTATCAACACTTCGTATCATAAATGTCATAAGGTGAGATTTAAAACCGAACAAAGCATGATTGAGCACAAATAAATTCCAAATTTAAAATGCAAAACATTCAACCAAAGCAATGCACAAGGTGTGATTCCTAGCAATAATTCACTTCTACGTTCCGTTGAATCGAAAGCTAAACAAATACATACTCCTTATCAACATAAAACAAGTAGTTTCATCATCAAACATTGACCATCTACCATCATCGTAATTCATTGATGCATCGAACAATTTTTTTTTTTTTTTTTTTTTTAATAAAAAAAAAACGAAAATAATACAACGGCAACAAAAACAAAAACTAACGCATGCAAAATAAAAACCATAAAACACAACAAAAGCGCACATAAATGAAAACAAGTAATCAACCACCCCCAAACTTAAAATTCACATTGCCCTCAATGTGATTCGCCCGGAGTTTAAGGATAGAAAACACCTGTTTTTTTAAGCGTCGGGACCATCGCCGGGTTGCTCGCCCACTCCACCTTGCGCATGAGCATCACCATCTCCTTCATCATCCGAAAGCTCGGGTACCGGCTCAAGAATCGGTGCGGGCAACGGAGCCGGTTCTTCGCACGCGGGATTGCCACATGCCAAATGGCGCACAATGGCTTGGAGCATCTTCCCCGACCACCGTTGGAGGGATTCGATCGTGCTCACCTTGTGCTCCACTGTGGCAAGCCGATTTCGCGTGATCACCAACTCTCGCTCCATTCTTCTTTGGAATCGTCGGTCCGAACTTGTGCTTGGACCCTCGGGTGGAGCGATTGGTTGGTTTTCGACGGGTTGCTCGCCATCTTGGATGGGTGCCTTGTATTGCCGCGCCGCAAGGTCATTCATCGGGTTCCGAATTGATGTGAAAATGTCCGTCGGTTTGGTTGGGACCTTCGCCTTCTTGCACAAGCCGGTAATGAGGCAAGGGAAATAAAATCCCTTGGAGTTGTTGACCATGGAGGTCCAAAACCGGTCGGATATGATCACGCCAATGTTGATCGGTGTGCCCTTAAGGATGTAGTATGCTAAAGCGCACCGTTCGGGGTCCACGCGAGTCCACGAGCGGGTGGGAATGAGGTTGGCGCAAATGAACGTAAGGCACGCCTTGCCTACTTGGTTGATGCATTTCCACTCTAACTCGTATTTTTCTTCGGTGGATAGTTCGGACCAAATGGGGGGTCCATCGCACAACACCTCGGCGATTTGATCTCGTGTGACCGCAAGTTGCATTTCCCCCCAATTGAATGGTGTCATGTGTCGGAGGTGATAGAAAGAATTGATTTTGGAAGCATACCAATCGACCTTCTTTCCTCGAACCGTGCTCGAGTTCCGATCCTCTGTGAGGTGGATATGGTTGTTGGCGTAGAACTCGCGGACCAATGATAGGTTGATCGAACCCTCCGGTTCCAATAGTGCTTGCCACCCTCGTCGTAAGAATTCTTGATGTAGCGGGGCAAATTGTGGAAGAGTGATCTCGTAAGCGCGCTCCGTCACTAGTTTCTTCCCCTTTTGCTTCTCGAACCGAGCACTAGCGCCTTCGACACAAAAAGCGTCATCGTCGGGTGTCGGAATTTGGTCGGTTTTCTTGCCTTTCCCTTTGCCTTTTGAGGTGCTTTCGCCTTGCGAAGGGCCCTCTCCGTCACGTCCTCGTTTCCCCATGACTTGAGAATGTGTGTAGAAGGGATTAGGAGTGGATTGATGCGCAAAAATTCCCCCAAACTTGACTCGGGCAATTCGGCGAACACCTTGTGGGCGTTCTTGGTGGAGTGGGTTTTTGGAGACAATTGCTTGTTCTTGAATCCTTCCTGTGCAAATCAGCAATAAACAACCAAGTTTAAGTATTGTGTGTGTATAATTGGTGGATTGATGGTGAAATTGTTCAAGAAAATCGAAAAATTTTGAAAATAGGGTGTTAGGGTTCGAATTAGGGGAGAAGTGGGGATTGGAGTTGTGAAAATTGGGGTTGGAAACCCCTCTTTAAATCTGCCCGTTTTTCCCTTTCGGACGGCCGTGCGGGATTTTGTGAAGAAATCCGCACGGCCGCACCGTTTGGTGAAATCGGGCAGTAGCTGCTCCTCAACTCGGACGGCCGTGCGGGATTTTGTGCAGCAATCCGCACGGCCGTATCAAACTCCGGATTTGGGCAGTAGCTGGGTCCGTTTCTCGGACGGCCGTGCGGGATTCATTGTCTTTTTTGCACGGCCGTGCCAGTGTTTGCAATTAGGTCCCTGCAAAATAAAAACTTTCTATTAGTGCCCCTGAAATTTTTTT